TGTCAATGGGAATGAAAGTATTAATTGATGATTTTATTCTTTTTCTATTTAAAGCTCGAAGAATGTTTGAAACAGTGGTTGGATTTATGCATATTGAAACAATTAAAGCTGTTAGTCACTTTCTTGAAACGGTTTTCATCAACAAACAAGTTGACTATATCGAATGGTCACGAACGTACTGGAAATTCATCTCGATTGTTGTCATCATGCTCTGATTTGGGACGTCTTTTAGCTGCGCGGGTTACTCAACACTTTATAAAACATAAAGATGGTAAACACTGCTTATATTTATATAATTTGCATATAACTTAGTTGATGACATTTCTCATTGATGAAAATACTTGTCTTTCAATTAATTATTGTGCATTTTTTCCTGTCTATTATGGTTTTAAAAACTGAATATTATCGTTAATCCTCTATACACAAGTTTGCATATTGCAATATCATTAATGTTTCTAACTGAATGGACTATTACAAATTTTTACTTATTCAACTTGAGCGCTCCTTGCGACAAAAGAAACTTATGACTTTTTAAAACTTTATTTCCGCTTAAAACTTAACAAACATTTATGATGTAGTTTGTGTCACTACACAGTTTATTTTGGGTAAACTAAAAGCATGTTAAAAGTGATCATGGAAGCTTGTTGATTTAAATTTCATTTTCTCATTCTAGAGCTTTCCGTTGGTTTGAAGAATTACTACTTTGATGTATCCAATGTTACAACTACTGCTAATCAGCATAACACATTCCAATCCAGACTAGTGAAGGCATTCCGAATGTGGTTCAGTTTACCTGACCATACTATTCTGTTACCTCATCTACCTAAAGGTTAGTACATTAATTTGACTCCCAATATTTTGCCTCGTTGTTATCGATTGTTAATAACAATGATTAGGTTAATTTTGTGCACAAGAAGAGGAATTTGTGTTTCTTCGACTCATTGAAACTGCCTATTGATCAGACATATTTCAGTGTTTCTTTGTCTATTTATATAACCCTTGGATCAAACAAATTGGTTTGATCGAATACAAATATACCCCATTTTATTGTAACTCATCACCCCCCCTCCCAAAAAAATAATGTACGGAGTTATTGGCTGGCAGTAATTATTTGTATTTGAACTTACATCACGGTTTGATTTTGGGGTGTTCTTCGAAGTGGATGGTCTTTCTAAATGACATCAATAGCACGTATATCAAAGAGAAGTGATCTTTTAATGTTTATGATGTCTATAAAAACAATGAAGGGTTGTGGCTAAACTATCCAGCTCGGAGAACACATTTCCACAATCTTATTACTCTGAATACTAACTAAATTACGGCTTCACATGTGATTCTACTTTTATTTTCTTTAAGATGATGTGCTACCGCTGGTCAACTTCCTTTCAGTTGTAAAACAACATAGTCCTACAACACCAGTTCCGAACATACTTTGGTTCCACAGATTTCTTTATACACATAGTTAAGGAGTCCAGTTTCTTTGTTTATGAAATAATGATTTACTTTTGCGACTAAATGATCAAAAGGATGTTTCATGTAATTGTTATATATGATATTTATTATTGTTATTTGTGCTGTACATCTAATGATCTATAATTCGTTGTTTGTAAATATATATGTTAAAAGAGTATATTTTTCACCAGATTCAAGAGGATCTGTGCCGTTATTGATTTTGAGTTTTTATCGTTATCCAGTAAATCCATATTCAGTATTAGGTTTCTGTTCGTTTTTCCTAAATATATCACTAACCTTTACAAGTTTATTTGTTTACATTTATTTTTAATAGAAAGATACAATATGACAGCCAATTTTATAATAACTATGTACAAATCACATCTTGTATGGTATATTTCTAGCAACTGCGAATTAGGTTCCAAAGAAGCTTAAATCTTAAGCATAATCTGAATAGCTGGGATTAGTCACAACTTTCTCGAAAGATAATATTTAGTTGAGGTATAAATCAAAGTGTTTCCAATTCTAGAAGAGTGCTTGGCGAGACTATAATTTATGGGCGAACTAATCAAATATAAGATAACGAGTCTTGAATTTTGGCGTAAAATTCATTCATACATTATAGCTGATGTCAGTTCGTGATGAAAACCCTAAATCTAATTTCTAAGCCGAACAATCAACTGTGAATCACAATTCTAATTCCTCGCATTGTTTTATAACGTCATTTGGTCCCACATAGTAGGTGGACGTTCGCAAGGTCATTTTAGCGTCGTTCATAAATTACAGCCTCACTGTGATTCAATTCACAATCGAAATGCACGATTGCAGTCAATGCAAGCTACACAGACAAATGGGGGAATAAATCGACATGGCTACTGCCAAGACTAAATATCAACTAAAAAGACATGAATGCAGTTCAGGAAGAAACATGGAAAGTTAGTAATAGCGTAAAGAAAATCAAAATCAAAAAGGAACACTAACAAAATGTACAACTGATGGAATCAATGGGAATGAATTACGTATCTATACAAGGGGGGGGGATTTTACGCACAAAACCTTCAAAATGGATTTCACAGAAAGATGTACCTCGTGAATGCTCTTCACTCAAACACTACTAATCTACTCAGAGCTTACGGCGAACTGTGATCTGATTTTACAACCCTAAGTGGTGTCCGCCTAGACTGTCGATTGTCTCAATTTCCGTTTAATTTCATCATACACCTACTGCTTAAAATACAGTTCTCGTTGAAGCAGAAAAGCCACATGGTTATCATAGGATGATTTTGACCTCATATATATTGGGACAATCAGTGATTGTGACCATCCAAATCCCAGATCTTAGCTAAAATCTTAATCAACCTAGTCGCTAAAATTGGACCACCATAATTAAAAACCTCGAACCAATCCATCTGGACCAGCTGCTCATCCTCCTTCTAGATTAGCTATAGCATTTCGAACTTCAGTTAGAGTCGGGAGACTTACTTCAATGTTCCATTCACGCTGTCTGGGAATGGTGGGTAGTTTTAGAGTAGCTGAAGGCCAGCTGAACTGTTCTCTATAGTGTTCCACCCATCGTTCTAAACGTCTGGATTGAGAGCATATACGAGTGTTGTCTTTTTCCGAGATAGTCCCACTTAAACGTGGCTTATTAATTCCAGTCTGAAGAGCTGTCTTGTATTACCTACAGCGGCCGCCTTTTCCATCTCTTTTGCTTTCGTTGCGCACCACTGCTCACGGTCGTTCCTTAGACTTTTGGTTAACCTAGATCTGATTTGTTTACGCTCTTCATAGTGTTCAGAGCCTGATGGGATTAGTTAACGATAACCCATCAGTGCTACAGATTTAGTAGGAATCCATTGGTTTTTCGTAACCCCTCAATTCAAATCACTAATACATATCACTGCTGTTTCCACAGCTGCTTGTATATCATTCCAAGCAACGTCTGGGTCAGCCTCGTTTTCAGAACTATCTAACTGTGACCTCAGTTGTTCCTGGAATCTACATTCGACTTTCGCATTAATCAATTCAATTCTAATGTGTCTTTTTTGCGTCCAGTGAGGCGCAAGCAGATGCGCACCCGTATTAGGGTATGGTCGGAGTCCAAGCAGGTACGCCAGAATGAGCGACAATCTTCTACCGACCCTCTTCAACGATGACTGATGGCAATATGGTCTATTTGAGTCCATCGGTGGTTTGGTGCAGGCGGTCGCCACGTTAGACGATGTCTCTCCTTATGCTTAAAATTTGTGTTTGCTAAAAATAAACGATTGTCTGAACACAGTCACAGCAGACGATCACCATTATCTGTTCGCTGAGCTGGAATACTTAAATACCCACCTAAATGCCTTTCTGCTTGGTTTAAACTACCTATCTGGTCATTAAAGTCACCTGCCACGAGTACTGTGTCTGAACGTTCAGTTTTCTGAAGAAGTTCAGAGAGCTTTCTGTAAAATTCATCCGAGCTGCAGTCAGTGGGAGCATAAGGCAGAAACGACAAAAAGGCAACGACGTGTGTCCCTATTCTTCCGAGTTCTCACGGAGGATATAGGATACATTCATTCGATTGGTAGAGCCACTGTTCATTTCGCCATTAGTGAAAGTAGTCTTTATATTTCGGATCCTTTTACTTTAAGTTATTCTCATAATTAAATACTATTCTAAATTACAAATTCGAATAGTTCACTTGATATTCAGTACGATTATTTTTGTTCAGTTGTTAAAACTTGTAGTAGCATATTTTTCATTTCAGTTTTAAGTTTGAAGCTAATAAATCGTAACGCTATAATTAAACCTACTAAAATTTCCGTTCCGAGTATTACTGGTCAGAAAATTCGTTTTATTTATTATTGCAATTTACTGGGTGTAGATGGTAAATATTCGGTTATAATCAGTGAATAACTCATTGATGATTATGTCGCACCAATCTTGGGTCTGTATGATTTGGAAAAGCTTTCCTTAATGACGAAAGACGGTTGTAATGTAGTGCTTGATTTGTGTTATCTATATAGTCGAAGGGCAATGTTTAGCGCACAAATTCAAGGGTCTACTATTCATACGCTAAGTTATGATTGGTATATACTGGATTGGGTGCCAATTACTTATTCCAAATATAATACATTTATTTGTACTCAACCAGTACTGTCTGCCTTAAATTAAACTATTCCGAAAATTCTTAGCAAGTCAGTTCGAATAATTTTGATTACCATCGTATCCCTATGGCGCAGAAGTTCCCGCCCATATATGTAGATTTATCCTTGTGTTCTATTTCTGTTCTCCTTTAAGTTCACTTTCCTTCAGAATGTGCTTCCGTTTATTTTATTACCGGCAAGGGCATGACTTTTTGGGATCAATTTTGCACGTGTAGTTCACGAATAAGTATAAACAGTTTTACCAACTGGTCACCATAATGAGTGCAAGAATCTACAATATTGGCAATAGTACATGCACTAGTCAAATAAACCTGACTAAATGTATTTTACTTTAATGCATATTTTACACTTCGCCCGAGTATACGAATTCATTATTTTAGCTGAGAAGTCACATAAAATCTGTTTACAAAATCATATTCTCTGTATAAAAAAAATTACTGTTTTAAAGAGTAAAGCAATACAAAATATTGAAAAGTGTCTTGGATGTTCTGATTACCGTACGAAATGCTCGTATTATTTATTCCACACGTTGATGTCTCATTAGGCATTCAACAATGCATCTGAATCGTCCTGCTTTACTGAATGCTCTTGCGGCTGCCCCGAGTGATGCTGCTGGATTTAGGGATAATTTAACAGCTGCCAATTGGGCCGCAGCAAGTGCTGATTCTTGATCTGTCGAAACAATTGTTGGTTGATTTCGGTTACCCTTCCAAGCACTCCATATACGGATTTGACCATCAGCGCTTGCGGATACGTACTGTAGTGGTGTAAGAATTGTTGAAAAACAACAGATTTTATCCACCATAGGAAACTCACGAAGCGTAGTTCACGCTTCGCTAACTGCATCTTATTCAACCTTCTGAATTAAACAACAGTTTTCGGACATTAGGGATTAACAAGTTAGCTGGATACGATTTCTCTAGGTTTTGGATAGCTGTATTTTAAATCAATTATTTGAAATGTAGCCATGGTAATTAATCGACTAGTTAGCTAGTCTATCTTTATTCGGCAAATTCGGAAGCATACAATGGAGGTCAGCATACCAACCTAGCTATTATCGCGTAAAATCCAAACGGTGCACTGTCATTTGAATCGGGCACGACACCTTTGTAATTATCTGCTTTCGTTCTCAAAAATTGTTTAATTATGGGGGAACCATATTACCATAACAAATCTTACGTACAGTCGCTAAGATATGATGACAGGTATTTGTTCTAGACGTGGTTTATTTGCCTCCAACTGCAGTTAAGGTTTTTGAAATTAGAAAACAGATTTTTTAGGAGCAAATTATCATTAGTGTTGTGTTCGTTATAATGCAAATCCACTTGATATTCCAACAGTGTAACTTGCACTTGGAAACATAAACTTACCTCATCTTCTTCCGGTAATATAATTATAGACCTGATTATATCACGATGACCTTTGTAATTTCGATAAACATGTCCAGTTAGCAGATCATAAATTCTGCAATACAAAAAACATGATAATGTGCTTAAAAATTTATTGATCTGTTTAAGGTGATAAGGACTGTTGTATAATTCCTTTTCATCTTTCTTACTTTTGAATATTTATAATATTATACCAGTAAATTATAGATCAGGAATTATAAAAAAAGTCAGTATTTAAACACTATAGAAGTTAGGAACACTAGAATTTACTCAAAATAAGAACATGCTACTTATCTCGTTTTCTAACAATCTTTCAGGTTTATCAATTTACTTACTTACGCCTGTTACTCCCAACCGACCAGCATTCTCCAACCCACTCTGTCCTGGGAATTCCTTTCTAGTTCTATCCAATTGTTTTTCATTTTTCTCATGTCTGTCTCCATTTCTCTACGCAATCTGTTCTTTGATCTTCCTCTTTTCCTTTGGCCTTGAGGATTCCATGTGAAGGCTTGCCTTGTCACGCAGTTCGGTGTTTTCTTCAATGTGTATCCTATCCACTTCCGGCACTTCTTCCTGATTTCTTCCTCCGCTGAGATCTCGTTTGTCCTCTCCCACAGAAGGTTGTTGCTGATTTTTATTGGCCAACGGATCCCATGTATTTTTGCGTAAACAGCTGTTAATAAACACTTGCATCTTCTGGATGATGGCTTTCGTAGTTCACCAAGTTTCCGCGTCATACAGTAGAACTATCTTGACGTTTGTATTGAAAATTCTGACTTTTGTGTTGTTTGACAGTTGCTTCGAGTTCCAGATGTTCTTCCGTCGTAAATCTACTGATCTTGCTTTGCCGATCCGCGCCTCCACATCTGCATCAGACCCACCGTGTTCATCAATGTTGCTGCCCAGATATGTAAACGTTTTTACATCCTCCAAATCTTCTCCGTTAGGTGTGATTCGATTGGTGCGTGTTGTGTTGTATCGGAGAATCTTGCTTTCCCTTTGTGTATGTTGAGACCAATTGCTGCTGAGACTGCTGCTACACTGGTGGTCTTCTCCTGCATTTGTTGTTGTGTGTGTGATAGAAGAACCAGATTATCTGCGAAGTCTAGATCGTCCAGCTGCATCCTAGCTGTCCATTGTATCCCATACTACCCCCCAGATGTTGACTTCTTCATGATCCAGTCGATCACCAGGAGAAAGAGAAAGGGTGAGAGTAAGCAACCTTTCCTGACACCGGTCTTTACCTCGGACGAGTCTGACAGCTGTCCTCCATGCACGATTTTGCAGTTTGATCCATCATAGGAATTCTGTCTGATATTGACTATCTTCTGAGGCACGCCGTAGTGTCGAAGAAGCTTCCATCGTGTTGTTCTGTCCACGCTATCAAATGCCTTTTCGTAGTCAATGAAGTTGATGTAGAGTGATGGATTCCATTCAATTGATTGTTACACAATGATCCGTAATGTTGCAACCTGGTCTGTACACGACCGATTCTTGCGGAATCCAGCCTGTTGATTTCGAAGTTGGGCGTCTACACAGTCCTTCATTTTGTTTAACAACACCTTGTTGAAGACTTTTCCTGGTATTGAGAGAAGATTGATGCCCCTGTAGTTATCACTGTTGCTGAGATCGCCTTTCTTTGGTATCTTGATCAAGTGTCCTTCTTTCCAGTCTGTTGGTACTTGTTCCTCATCCCAAATCTTATTGAAGAGAGTGTGGAGCATCCTTGCAGTTACTGATACGTCTGCTTTTGGTGCCTCTGCTGGAATGTTGTCTGGTGCCGCTGCTTTGTCGCTCTTGATTTGTCTGATGGCTTTGCGGATCTCTTCAATTGTTGGTGGGCCAACATGGATTGGGAGGTCCATGGGTGCTACTTTGATGTTGGGTGGGTTCAGTGGAGCTGGTCGATTCAAGAGTTCTTTGAAGTGTACTACCCATCTGTTTCGTTGTTCTTGGATGTTGATGATTACTTTGCCCTCCTTGCTTTTGCATGGTCCCTCTGGTTTACGATAATTACCAGCGAGTTTCTTTGTTTGATCATACAATTGTCTCATGTGTCCTTCTCTTTCAGCCTTTTCAACCGTCATTGCTAGATCTTTCACATATTTACGTTTGTAGATTCTGATGCTCCTCTTCACTTGCTTGTTTAATTCTGTGTATTCAGCTTGTGCCTTGGCTTTCTCTGCTTTTGCTCAGCTGGTATTGATTGCTGCCTTGTTGAATCTTATCCAGTGTATCAACGGTGATCCATTCCTTATGGTAGTACTTCTTGTGACCCAGAACCTCGTGACACGTTGAAGTAATTGCCTCTTTTATCCCTTTCAAGTTGCTCTCCATCGTAGTTCCTTTTCCATTGAGTAGATCATGAAAGGCCTCGAACTTATTGCTGAGGACTACATTTGACCTACATGTGACCAGTTTATTGAAGGCACATAGGTGTGCGAATTCCTAACCATTTTCGTTCCTTTCTCCTAGTACATGTCGTCCCATGATGTCTTCATATCCAGTGTTGTCCATTCCAACCTTGGCATTTAGGTCTCCTATCAGAATGATCAAGTGCTTTGTTGAGCACTTCTCGACGATTAACTGCATCCTATCATAGAATTTATCTATAACGTCTTCATTGTGGTCGTTGGTAGGCGCATAGCACTGGATGACTTTCATTGTAATACCCTCCTTCTTTGTTTTGAAGGAGGCTTCGATGATCCTTAGTCCATGAGATTCACATCCTATGCTTGTTTGGAGAGCATCAATGTAATTCCTTATGTATGTGGGGCTTTTTCTTCTTCATGGCCAGAGTATAACAGAAGCTCCCCTGAAGCTAGTAGTTGTTGTCCAACTTGCGTCCAATGTGTTTCACTGATCCCAAGCACCTCTAGGTTGTATCTCCTCATTTCTGCAGCAATTTGGAAGACTCTCCCGGTCTCCCACACTGCACGAGCATTCCATGCACCTAAATAAATGGTTGCTCTGGTTGTCAGAAGAAGCATCAGCCTCGTGGCTTGCATAGGAACTCGGCTTTCACCATGAGGCGTTATAACTCTTCTAAACGAAGACCTGACTCCCAGGGCAGTTTAAGTGGTTTGAATAATTTTTTCTGGTTAGCGTTTTTTTAGCGAGTTAGTTTTATACGGTATGGGATCGGTAGTAGACCCAGAGGGGCCTCAGGCGAAGTTAGGTTCATCAATTGCTGTCAATATTTAACAATTAGGTGTCTAGTTCGACCTTAACTATCATAGATTACCATCGACAAGCGAAAGATGACTGGTTTTGAGAAATATCGCCTAGTGTAAGATTCATGATGGTGTGAGTGTCTGTTCAGTTCAGTATCGCAGTAAAGAACTATTAAAGATTTTTTTACTTTGCAATGGATATACAATAAACAATGAAACGTCATGGAATAAAAATAACTTTTATTTAATGTAAAATTCATGCAAATGCGAAACAACGTAAGAATGATTTTTTTAAATCTGAAGAATTACGATCTCAACATTTGATCATTGGTCCTTAGACTCCAGAGGTTTTTAAGGTAGTATCAGACTTTAAAATATGTATTTACTGACTTGGCATAGAAGCTACTGATTTTCTAGCAAAATCATTTTTTGGCTTTAAAAACGATTAAGTTGTGGAAAACACCCTTGATTAATATTCTGGGTAACTGAATTCCGATCTAGCATTTAAAAATTGTAAAGATATTGTTTAGAATTTGCGATGCAATATCTACATTCATATATTGGCTGCTTGGATCTTCTAATTGATTGACCGATCTTTTTTTAGTATACGTGGATTCTGTTCGGATTGCTTCGAAATGTACTTTTTATTATTGGACGTATTTCACTCAAAGTAACTTTCACTTTTATGGATCTAAGTTATTGTTTAAGTGAAAATTTAACATTTGAAAGTGCAAATGAGAGAAAATTTCATTTACTGTCCGTTCACTTATTGTCTGTGTCAAAGCAATATTTTCAAAAGTGAATAATATGCTTACTTAATTTCTTTATCAACTCCTGCAAGTAAAATATTGCGTTTAAAATCTAAACGAAGACACGTTATTGGACCATTTGCATTCAGAGTTAATCGGCATATTTCTCCTTCATTCACCGTTTTCTAAATGAAAAAAATATGACTATTTTCCTTTATCAAAATATAATTCAACTTTAATGTACAAATTCAGTAAAATCACAAACTTTGAGAATTAGCCATTAATTGTTTCTAGTTTATTCGAACACTGACTCGAAATTTTTGAAGTGATAATAATACGAGTTTACTTGTATGATAAACTATAAATCCAACTGGCTGAAGTTAAGAAGGAAACGGATACACTTAGTCACTGAATAAATTATCAACGAAGAAGAATGCTTCCTACAAAATAATTGTTTACCAACTCGTTTTTTCTTATCATCAAAATGTTTCATGCTAGGAGGATCATAATGTACCGGAGTTTTGTTAATAATTGTAAATTTGTTAAATGTAACAATAACTGCCACAACATTTTTCCTGATTCATATTTCTACACAACTTTTAACATTTTCTAATTGGTTTTTATCACCACTAATTTTTTGTCCCACTAGGTCACGTAGTGTCACTATGTGACTTCTTTTCTGAATAAAAATCTATTCTGAAAGTACCATCTTTCATATATTATTGACGTTGTGTATCGGCAGCCATATATTAGTTTCCGTTCTTATTAAAAGAAGTCTCAATTATTTGTAGTTGAACATTTTAACTTGGGCACCAGTAAACCGAAGTCTCAACCGTAGGTTTTCGCTATTTGTATAGTATTACTCTGGGCATCAACAGTAAGTATCGAGAATATTTCGGAATAAAATAGTATAACTGCGATAATTGAAGAGTCGTTGCAGAATTATCTTACATCCTAAACTGGTAAATATCTGTAAATAACAAACGTTCAGGTTAAAATGTATTTCTCTTTGACGTAACATAATTTAAAAATTTCTCGTCTCGTGATTACATAGTTGTTTATACTTATATTACTGTGAATAAGAAATTACGTTTAAATGGTTCTTAATTTATCGATATCATCATTGTACAAAGTTCAATCTATGCAAAATTAACAAGATGATTTTTGTACTTTTAGAGAAAAAGAAATCAACAGTTTAGTGTAATCGAACATAATTCTTTTGCAAGTACAATTTAACTGAACCTCACAATTGAAATACCTATAATTTCTTTCTTACATTTTAGTTTACCATAAGTTAGTTAACTAATATTGATTTAATTGCTGTAAACCAGAATGTGGTTACTTTTATGTATAGTTTAATATAATCCTTCTTATTTAGATATAATTCATCAGTGCAAAGGTATTAACATAATATAACAATAATATTGCAATCCTTACCAATAAGTCTCTCTACTGTTTGCGTTAAAATCAGATGTATTTAAAGCCATGAAAACTAGAATTATCTACACAAAACCTGATTCGTTACTTTTGCCTTAACTAAGATCTACATAACTGGTAGAAAACTACTTGACACTAAATTGTTTCTTTCATTGAACTGCTCTATTTTTCAGTAAACTTCATTGTTATCTTAGTGAAGAAAAATATAATCAACTTTTTCCGTCTGTTTGTTACACTACTTTTTAAAAAAAAGCACTTTTCTCAGTCATTTCATATCTATAATATGGCCTAATAGATATATATTGGTTGTGAAACATACTTGGTTTTGTATTCAGATTGGCTGAAATCTGTGACTAAAATTCAATTATCTGTTTTCGTCGTTAAAGTATTACACATTGAAATTCGACTCTAACAGTTAACCAACACACTGTTTGAAATTTCAGAAAGTATAAGTTTTTACAAGTTAGTTACGTCAAAAGAATAATTTCTTGTGCAGCATTCCTGTAGATAAATTTATAAACACTTAATAATATATTGATTAATGAATGGCCAGTATCTTATTTTTCTGGTCCTTTTTGTTGATTGCATTCTATCGACCAAGCTGCATTGCTACCAGTAGTCTGAGTGACTTGACATGGGCTGCATTATTCTTTAATGTATGGTGGTCAAGAGGAATACATGGATTTAGGCTTTCTGCTAGTTGACGATAAGACATACCTGCAACCCCAGAGGAGCTGAGGCTTACTGTGGAGTTCGAATCCGGCTCATACAGCTTCCTAGTCTTGTAAATTAGCACAAAGTTCTCCCGGGGTGGAGATTATAGTGTCGACTAGCACGAAACCTTAGTACTGGGTTTCCTACTAGCTACATTCAGTCATCTAGCATATTAGTTAAAAAGATAACATGAATATTTTGTCACATATATGCTGCTCACCCATATACGAATAGTACAGTCATCGGAACCAGTTATCCATTCACCTTGATTACCATTTTCTACATTTGATGGATTAAATACAATACAATTTACTGGTCCATTATGTCCAATTAATTTTGTTTGCAAGTGCATTTCATTCCCATTTAAAGAAAATTTGCGAACATAGATGAGGCAATCAGAGCATGCATATGCAAAAATATCTCTAGATTGATATTTATTTTGATCAAAAAAGAAATTGGTAAACAAGTTGTGCATCAGTTACTTACTTACGAAATGGATTTTTAAATTATATTATTATCTAACTCAGTTTTATGTAATGTGTCGATATCTGTTTAGCATGAATAGTAGTGCGGCTTGAGATTAAAACATTTACCAACTAACGCTCAGTCTAAAGGAACAAATCAACTACGAAATCTTTGATAACCATAACTGAAATTTAATTTTTACTATGATACAAAGAAAGAAATCACTTACGTCTTTTGACAAGATTCTTGAACTTAATAATAAGTCTTTTAAAAACCATATCATGTTAGATTATGTTTAGTTTAACTATTTTTCGCAAACAGAATATACTTAAAAGTTAAAAATAGACTGAAGATTTATATCTTGTCTTAGTCTATAACTTCTAAATAGTACCGATCCAGAATAGAACAAGGTTTACTAATTAGAAAATTTCATAATTTCGTTATCAATCACTAAATCTAAATACAGTCCTCTACACTGTTCGACTTAAGCAGCTTTGTAATAAAGCTTTACTACCAAAATGTTAATTTAAGGTTGATCTGTCTGGTAACATCTTACTAATGATTTCAGTTGATTACTGAATGGTGAGCTAACTATTTCAAAGTTAGTTTACACCACAGGAGGAAACGGTTTTGTAAAATCTAACAGTTTGATTTAGTTTGTTCTGTTAATAAAAGATGACAAAACAGTTCTACGTGATTTCTATAAACTGAAACGAGATAATAATAGTAATTTTGAAAGACGTTTCTGGAAGGAGATTGCTCCTGAATTAGATACATTATTTGAAAAAAGCAGATTGAAATCGGACAATAAGAGCTCGATTCATGGTATTTTGTTTGCACTGTAATAAAAGTAATTGGGGATTCAGCCAATATACTATTGTAATTTACTGTGCATTGTTCTGAATAATATTTAATATTTGATGTAATATTGGAAAAAAAGCATAATCATTTTATTACTGACTGAGTGGCAACATTTATCCTTAATGTGTTACATTTAAATAAATGGTCGTACGAATAGTCGATAAAAGAAATATTATTTTATTAAAATGTTCACATCATTTTTTATTTTGTATATCAAAAAGTGAGATGATTCATGTTACTGTCGCTAACTATCATTTCCCTTCGTTTTTTCTGAAGTTATAAACTATTACTTATAACCTTTTGCAAAATAGCAGAGCTACATGGTTTCGTAAGGACTTCATACATTTCAGGTTTATTTTCATTACAAACAGGTGTCAGCTGAAAAATTACTTGGAAACGTAAAGCAATGGACAGTGGTTCCATTCCAATTTGTATTACATGAGCCATCCTGGCTCATCATTTTAAATAAGTTCAAGCTTAGGAACTTCATTCGTGAGGGTTACTTTTGGATATTGTACTTATTGAGTCGAAATCCAGTTTAAGATACTGTTTATATTGATAGTAAACTTGTAGCATCAGTGTAATTTATTTAAATTCACTGTGATGTTAGATTTATGAAATCTAAAATCATAATAGTAAATCAACTCACAATTCAGAATTATATGCCATGTCTAATATTGCGCCTTTGGAGGCTTTCTGGCTAGGGTTTTGGTCCAAGGATTGTGTTTCGAGGAATTTACCAATTAATTTGCCAGATTTTAAATTCCATATACATATGCAACGATCCCATCCAGAAGTAAGCTGAATCAATACAATTTTTTAAAGCTGTTAAACTAATCAGTCTAATCAAATAGTAAAATTTATTAAATAATGGGCAAAACAGTCATACATTCAATTATTTGCTTAGTAGTTTTCATAATATGATAATTTTTATTAGATGCAGTTAAATCAAGACAAGTATTAAGGTAAAAAAAAACCAGAATGGGTAGTGGCTCACTATTCGTGAGTTATTGGTTTGATTACCCATCGTGAATTAATTAATTTTTGATAAGTAATTAGTAATGAAATTTGTTGATAGAAAGTGAGCTATTTTTCAGAACAACAATTTAGATATTGCTATTGAAAGTGAACGCAGTATTCTGTAGAAATCAGTGTCAAAAGTGAAACTATTAAAAAATTAGAATTAGCAGACAGAAATTAGTTGCATTTCGTTCTCGATACTACATAACGAAAATGTCTCGCATTTAAGTTATGTAACATTAAATCGTGCATAAAAAGCCTCACATAAAATTCCGAACAGTGTTTTGTTTCAAATGGTGTGTTTTAATAATAATACGTTTCAATCCGAGTTTTCTCTTATTGAGAACATCAGCTGGGCATGTTTGAACCATGTCATTGATATTCACTCAATGCCTACAGCTCAGTTTACTGGTAAAAAAAAATAATTGGAAGTGTTCTCTAGAAACAGAAAATTTCACTAAATATTCCTTGAAAGAAATCAAGATAAGCTACTGAAAAATATCAGAAATCAAAGTAAAATATTGCATTTAAATATCTGATGAGAAGAAACTTAGCATTCTGAATGTGTACTTATACCCTGATGGCAATTAATTTGGACAGTAACCATTTTCGTTAACTAATCTTCATGTAACTATTTTTCAAAGGTGTTAAAATAAATAGGTTACTTGTGCACTAAATTACTACCCCTTTGTATCTGCCAAAAAGTATAGGGAAATAATTTATTTAATTATATGTGTCTATTAGTTGATAAAATATGCATTATGTTATATGGATTAATTCAGTATGTTACATAAATGTTTCCAAAGCTTAGCATAGTGTTTTGGATGTATTAGGATGGTAAGCTTTTTATGAATTCTCTTTGAGTGATTTAAGCAGTCGACTCTCCAGAATGGTCTTACGTATCTGAAAATTTGTAAGTATTTCAGTTGTGGAGGGAGCATAATATCATGTATTCAACTAAAATTTATTGCTTGACTCTCATTAACTGAACTTTTGTGCAGTTATTCAATTAATAAAATAATATATATTTACTCTTAATATACCCGCAGTTTATTGATTAACAAGTGGGAAACTTTTCAGATTATAAGAGTATGACATAAATAACATTGTACATTCCACATTTTGAAACTGGACCGTCTGTAAAATTTTAATTGAAACACACATGCAAATTACCAGAATCCATTGGTGAATAGGATGCATTTTGTAATCTATATATAAAAGGCACGTTACTGAATCTTTATGTTCAACCAATACATAACGACATTTCATTCCGAATAAATGTCGACTAACAGATTCTAAAGTCTGGAAATAAATAATCAGATAATATACATCTTAACAAGTTAATCATAGAAACTGTTAAATAAATAAGATGAATGGCTAATGTTTTTTTATAAGTTATGCGTATGATAAAGGCAGAATAAATTGAAGTATTTCATGAGTATCATATTCTATGAGATAGTTGTAAATGTAAGTAAATTCCGAACGTAATTGCAATGCGAAAACGAGGAGTGACTGAAAAAAATGTATAACGGCTACAATGTTTTGACAGAACATTTTGATGGGTTGTAATTCGAATATTTTGTAGAGTTGGTAGATTTGTTCATTTAACACATAAATCACAAAACTATCTAGGCAAACAAAAATGTAGTGTTAAATATTCTTTCTTATGTGAATCACAAAAATTTATTAATGCTGAAGATTAGAGTCATTTTGCATTTATTTCAATATATTATTAGTTTCTAGACAACACTTCAAATGGGACAGTTTCAAATAAAACAGAATCTACCTCATACTTAGTGAATTTAACTGTTATATATCAAAATAGCCAAAAATGAATTCTGAATTTACCAAGCATAACGTTCCTTATTATAATATTACCTGTTTATCTTCAGCCATTGTTATCAAAGGATTTGACTGCATATTCATTTCCGGGCTCAAATCTTCACTTGTGCAATTATTCGCGTCTGTATTTTCCACTTCTTGATCAGTTCCTCTTAATTTATTGAATATCTTCAACAGTTTTGGTGAATTTAAAATTATTTCCCTGAAATCTTTTGTAACATTACTTTGTGACTTCATCTCATTGGGTGTTTTAAAATTACTTCTTGGTTCATTTCCATCGTTACATAATGCATCAGTTAAGAATTTTTTAGTTGCTTGCAAATCGTAACCAAGGACATCTAAGATTTAAATGAACAGATAAGTATTCAGTAAGTCACTCTTTAACCTTTTAATTTGATCTGTTTGATCGGCATACCTGATCTTTTATCAAAAACTGTGATAATATTTCGGCTGGGTTTTGAATAGATTCATCAGTGAGAACTGACCATGTAGACTCATAACATGTCAGATTATTCGAAGGATCTGTAGTGTGATATTTTGTCAATGTGTGACACAGTGACTATGGTACTTTGAACAGTTCACATATACAGCTTGAATTTATATGAGTATACTGTTTAATATATCTTCGACTTTTAGACCTCCAAGATATTCTCCAGAGTGAATGGTTTCAAAGTACTTCTTATGTTAACTGTTACATTTCATATATAATTCTTTTTTAGACTTTTTCGAATTGAACTGAATTAGTTAACCCTAGATGGTGTTTGGTATTATATCTAAACTTTTCTAACGTTAGATCCGTAACGCAAAATTTGCTATTTTAGGTTTCCGAAAATTTCGTAAAAATCTTGGATTTTTAAAACAAAGTTGTTGGTGTGAAAAACACCAAGATTTACACCAAATATTAACCAGATTTTAATTTTTAATAACAAAAACAGAAATAAGCAAATCTAAATCAGTTTGTCAGATCACTGAAATATCCACATATTATGTGAAGAACGAATTGACTGATATTTATTTCAATACTAGAGATTGAAATATGCAATGGCATACATAATAATCAAATAATGAATATGTGCTTCTTCAATTTTTAATGTTATGAAATGGGAAATCAAAGAAGAAACATCCTGGCCGTTCGTTACTTGATTATTTAGCAGCAACCTTAAACTAAACCATGTACCTCTTAAAATTGAAACCAGGTAACGCTAATATCTAGTTTATGAATGAGTGAAATGGAAATCTGCGCCTGACAACTATAGTACTACATTATTTTTATCATAACAACCGCTTTCCTAGCAGATATATGTGTTGAAAGATGAAAACTATTTGTAGCATAGGTGAATGGGTTTGGTTACGATTTACTCTTTTGGTTGAAGGGTTGAGTTGAGATTTTATTGTAGTTCATGATGTGATCGCTAGTATCTAGTTCATAAAATACACTTACAAAATAATTTTCCATTTATTAATCCAGTCCATCCTAATGACCTTGACAGTTCTACTTGATGTAGCAGGTGATGATGTTAACAGAAAGATGATAAAATCTGCGCAGTTAAATTATTCGTTTCAGTGAACTTAATGCCTTTTAAATAAAGATTTTTATCCATTATGATTATGATTCACAATCACTTTATTTGATGGCCTCTATTGAATATCCTGCGACATCCTAATTAATTGAAAAACGCGTATAATATATATCTATCACATTTGATTTCCACGATATTAAATTTCAGTATGTTGTGGAAAATCACGCCGTTCAAAAATATTTTTTCCACAATTTTTTTATGAATTAGAGCTTTTATGATTTTATGAACAAGTTTCCGACTAGCAAAATAAGAGAATAGGACGTTTGTCGATAAGCTATGTTCAACGGTATACCGTGGATGAGTGATTGCTGCCTACAAAATCGTATTATTGACGTAAGGGCACGGATAATTTGAAATCAAAGATGGGGTTTCTAACCAAAAAAATAGATTTATGTAGAAAAACATTACCTTCTTATCATACAAAATATATCGTTAAAAGAATCACGGTGAAATTATATGGGCAGTTAGAGGAGATCAGTATGTAGGTTACTCGCTCATCAACCAGTTGAGTCTAGTTGTCAGATCTAATTTTTGTTTCAGTTCCGTTATTTAAGTGACAATAACTTTCCAACAGCCAGTTGCTCTCTTTTGAAAGTAGTAAATAACCATTTTAAAATATGTTATTAATTATTTGTTTAACCGACAATAAATAAAAACTTACAAACCACTCCATCTTCACAGGCTGCAACTACAAAATCCAGTTCGTCTATATAAATCATCCTAAGGAAATTTTTTGACCGTTTCTAGAAATGAAATAAAACTTATTATCAGCAGGTTGGACTATATGAATTAACTGAGGTTCAAAATTTGAACGTTTATAGCTATCCGAGTAATTTTGTTTCAGTTGGTTCTGATAGACAAAATTATTTCAAGGTAAAAGGTACCGAATTATTTGGTTTATTCGATCAAGAGAGTGAAGCATCTTGGATTCTCAGAATTTTGAAGACTTGACGGGTGTGTGGAAGTAACCAGACGTTCTACTTTACATCTCATAGAGTATCAGTTGAAGTTTAGAAGATTAGATTTAATGATAAAAAGGTTTCTGTTTTTCCTTAACTAAGGAAATAAATTCATGATGGGAATATTCATCTGTTATTAATTGTTTGGTTACAGCGTATTAGTATGTAAAAATATTGTGTTAGATATTTTATTTATAGGAAATAACCTGTGTCTAAAACACCACCTCATAAAATTGTACTTTTCAAAATGTTTAACCATGGTCATTAAATATTCCTATCATAAAAAGAACCTTTTACTAGCGTCCAGCACAATTTGGGTAGATTTGTAAACCAAAGTTACTAGAAAAAAAGCTGTGTAAAGAAGTTCTTGTTTGAGTTATTAGATATTTCTGTTAAAAACTGGACACTTATCATATGGTCCTAATTCTTGTGCATATCTTATATTGACGATGTAAGCTTTAGTATAATAAGGGAAATGAAAGCACTTTTATATTATTATTAGTAGTAGTAGTAGTAAAGGATTGAGTTAATATTCAGAATTTAATTTGAATCATTATTGATAAATATGCACCTTGTACTTATTGCTTGAGAATATGACTTTTATGTTATGATGCTTTATATTAAACTAGTTAGCATTCACTATCAAATAGCATTTAATTTTCCTGAACTGTAAAAGTACAAACCGGAATAATCTTCATATTATCGGTTTATGAAATACTATATTGAAGAGATTATTAATGAATGGTATGAACGTAAAGTAGATTGTTTTAAAGATGCTACAAGTTAATCAATTTTTATTGAAACTTCTTGTCAATTTCCTTGTGATATACTACTAAGACTGTATACTTAATTTACCTTTATTGATTGTTGTACACATAACAACAAGAGAAAGGCAAATGAAACTATACAACTATTTAAAATTATTGGTTATGCAATTAAAAAGTTATATATGTAGTCTGGATTCCAATCAACTCTAACTTAAATTGTCCAAGTTGTTTCTGTGAAATATAAAAAATAACTAAGCTGAAGAAGCATGCTGAATTTTTATTAACACGACACTTCCGTAATTCGCTGTATTGAGTTATTTGGTTTGTTTAACATCATTTAACTGTTATGCTTCCTTATTTCATTGTAAAATAAAGGTTGTTTGACAGATGAAATTTAAAATGTCTGCAGAAATCCTGAATTCAAAATAGGATTGATTCAAACACTTCTGTTCAACGATACTATACAAACAGTTTTTTGATAACATCTGCAACTTCATATAATTCATGGTTCATCAGAATTAAGATATTAGTTTAGTAGTTTTGTGGGCATTGCTTAAGTTTTTTAGTTTAGATTAGGAACTGACTTTGCCCAAACAAACATCAAGAAGCATTAAACAGCTTCTTGTTTTACTGTGGAGACGATCAGCATTGTACTTCCGTAACTCAGAGTGTACCTGATCCAAGTAGTTCGAAATTAGCAGCCCTTGTCTAGATTTCAAACCATTGGATGTTATTGACGTGATCTCAAAGTTGAGCGCTAACAAATCTCATACCAAGACAGAACATGCTACCAAATACCCAATGTCCAGAAAAAGTTAGTTCGTACTGTTAACTTGAATATTTTTATTGTACGAACATAGCAAACATACTATCCAAGATATTTTTCTTCTTGATCTAGTCATTTACACCGGCTAATTAAGCGAGTATTCTGTATGGGTTTTAGTTATTCCAGATATGTAAAGTCTTCTAGACAATTATTCTGCATCAATTCTAAACCATTGTTAATGTAAGTTTTATGCTATCCTGATAGATAACAGCCATTGTACACTTGTAGAATAATTCTACAATGAGCGTACACAGTTTACATGTAGATTCCCATAGGGTTTATATTTTAATAATTCTTAAAGATTTAAAAATAACATTACTTATTGAAAGATATTCATGTCTTAATTGCTTAATAAATACACGAACTCTCTTTTTTCCACCCACAGTATTTTAGTCGAAAATAACTTAACGTTGGTCTTTTAAAATGATGCCAGATATGTCTACACATTTAAGTATCTGTAACTCCACAGTGGGTATCTGTCAACAAAAGACTCAGTTTATTGATACGTCTAAATATTATAACATACACTTTCAGTGAAAACTCTAAGAAAACCTAATCAGTTATCGGATTTGTTTTCGCATATCTACAAGCACATAATTAGCAAGCTCATTATTTTTCCCATATAGGTTTAGCTTATTTCAACACAATTCTACTAACCTTTAGCAGTAAAAGAAAATAAATGTGAGTAAATTTCGTATTTGTTGTGCAATAATTCTGTAAGTAAACAACTTCCATTCAGACAGTATAATGTATTTGGTTAAAGAAATACTTCCCTCCAATAACACACTCATATTGGATTTACATTTAAATATAAAATTAACAACAATCGAACTATGGTTATTCAACTGAAAATAAATATCAAACTTCAGTGTTATCCATAACTAATATTGATTTGATAATATAGTAGTTAATTGGTTTATGGCAAAAACTGGATGAGTAGGTAAAAGGATAAAGATAGAAAAGTATAAACTAGGAATTAAGCAAATGACTGGGATTAACAAACATTCATTTACGTGGATTTTTATGGCTTTCGCTATATGTAAAGGGTTGAATATGGAGGCACAAAGAAGGATAAATGGGACTTTTTGAGTAATTATATTATGCTACGCTGTATCAACTGGTTGATAAGTACTAACTAACTCATTGTTCTTTATTTAATTATGAAGTACAGTTTTGAGGCATACAGTGCGAAACTTGTCTCATTAAGAACCTAATGTGCTTGGATTCATATGGTCATTTGAACAGATGAAAGATATAAGGCCGCCAAAACTTAATAGGCCGTCTTTTCTTCATGAACTAACTATTGGTTCTTTGAAAACTGTATAACATAACCTTTGTTTTTAGTGATCAAGAAAGTATCGTGGTAAATTAATTAGTTATATGATATTATCTCTATGGGAATACATTGCACTTCGTGTCAATTTAATGACCTCAGATTTATTAATTTATCAGAGAATCAAGAACAGATTACCCGCATCTGGTGAATTATTAGTTAAATATACAAGCTGTTGATTGGATATGCAAGTAAGTAATAACTAATTAGTTGAAACTGACTATACTTGGAATTTTACATTTTTAAACGAACTAAGAAATTTGTATAGTAAATTTATCATCAATCAAACTGAGTGTCTAACATATAAATTACTTGGGCCGAAAAGAAGGGACTAGAAAATAATGTGATAGTGTTTCATTTGTTGCTCTAAGTTGGAAGTCCAAAATTCTACTCCATAATTCTCGATGTGAGTAGATTGAAAGAATAAGTTGAATTTCTTTTTCTCTTATCATGCTCAACAAATACTGAATCAAATCCATTAAATATATAATATCTTTTAAATCTATAATTATCGAGAGATTAATAAACTCTTTGTTTTTTAATTGCCTCCGTCTCTAAATTTTTTTCTATTTTTTCTAACTGAATAACTGCATAATTCACTATCAACTAATTATTTAGTAGTTCAAACAAAGATCTATAACTGATGTGAATTTTAGGTGAATACAATTTGGAGTTTAAATGTTGTTTACAAATATAATTCAGTGTCGAAACGCCTCCAATAGTCTAAAATATTAAGATAACTGGATTCTTTCAATGGTTAACATCATGAGTCAGTTAAAGCTAGACCACCATGGAAAACCTGGAAGCACTGGATGGCCGTTTCGCCCTATTGTGGGACTCCTCAGCAGTGCGCATCTACCACTTCGCACCCTGCGAGATTCGAACCCAGGACCTACTGGTTTCGCGCGCGAACACCTAACCACTAGACCACTGAGCCGGTATCCAACAGTACGCCGAAACAATAGGTCCTGGGTTCGAATCTCGCAGGGCGCGAGGTCGTGGATGCGCACTGCTGAGGAGTACCACAATAGGGAGAAACGGTCATCTAGTGCTTTCGGGTTTTCCTTGGTGGTCTAGCTTTAACTGACTCATGATCTTAGCCATTGAAATTACTATAATATCCACAAGACTCATCTGATATAACTAGATCCAACCATTTTGTTTTTATACTGTTGTAACAGAATTATTATTTTTGCATGAATAAATGAATTGATTGTGAATCGGGAAATCTGATCCTTTTAACACAGTATTACTAATTGAGATTACAAAAATTATAAAGACTTAAATCTCGTTTAAGATTGAAAATCAACAAATTGGTTTTACTGTTTTCATAAAATTGAACAAAGTGCTTATTTTAAACACAATTTTTCATTTCACATTTAAATCTGTAATGTATGGATTTGAGTAATATTGACATATTAGAAAAAAAACTATGAAGTGTTCACTTTTTATTGTGAGATAAATAAGTTTCTTTTTAGTACAGTGATATTTAACAGTTGGCAGAAATGAACTCATTATATTTGTATGAATCAAATGTAATTGGTAACATTTGCACCAAACAATTTCCCACTTATTTTTACAATTCATTCTGACTTATAAATTGCATACAATGTGAAATAAAACTGTAGATGTATTTTATTCATTATTATTGATCTACTCACACTAGGGAAGCTCCACTTCATTTGTTTAGTAAAGAACTGTTAATTGGATAAATTGTTATTCTGATGTCTTACCGACCTATATAACTGGCTAATAATATCTTTTTATACGGATGTGAAACAACAGTTTTTTTCAAAGCCCAGGTATATCTCTGTTGAATATTATTATTATTACTACTATAACTATTATTAAATATTATCATCCAAATATATGAAGAAAATGCAATTTCAAGAAATAAATTTTTGAAGCGAAATAATGGCAAATTTTTCTACCTTGTTAAGTACTATTTCTTTTGTATTATAAGCAGTTGAGTTTTGACAGTTGATCATGGCCACTGTATTTTGTCTAGATTTTATTCCAATTGGTAATTTACTTTGAAGATATGTATAGGGAGTCATTGACCGTTTAGCTGAATACATATTACTATTATTGGGTAATAATAACGTTTTGGGTAATGATGCTTTTAATTTTTCTATTTCTTTTGTCTGTACAGCTTGTGTACGTAATTTCTCTTGTAACCATTCAGATAATTTTTTATCAATTGACTCGTGTATCATTTCTTCTTGTCGACTAAAATAAAAAATTAAAGCTATAATGAAAATAACAAACTTGATAGTATTCATATTTCAAGACAACTTACTGATGTGAATCAATCGTGACTAAAATATACTGTCTCAGTGATACAAATTATGAGAATGGTAAATATATCCGTTCTTCAGATGTGACAGAATTCCCGATAAACAATTTTTTTCATCACAATTAGAAAAGCCCAACTTGCAATTTGCGCCATCAGATTGATATTATTAATTTAGAAAATAATTCGAAAGGACTTTTCCCATTATTAATAAAGGCAAGTAATTGAAGCTTTTCATACATTGTTAAACTATACCCCATCTGACAGAGAAGACAGCCTTACGAGCCATCCAATATGAACCATTTGTCCAAAAAACCACAGATCATACTATTGACAAACATACAAATTGTTTCTAACTCTACTCTTCCACATTAGAAATATATGTAAAAATACGGTGTACTGTCGGCCTTGTGCTAACCAAATAGGATCAAGATAACCCATTTCCGATTTTCTTCACAAAATTGATAGCCCAGTGCAAGACATTATTTATTTATTTATTTTAACACAGATATTGGTACAAGGAGGCACCAAATACATATGCGCCACACAAATCCCATTCGATATGTGTGAGGGCTGTGATACTGCCCGGGTGCCCAAACCGAAGCAGGTGGTTTTCTTAGGAGGCCACTCCCCGAGCCTTCGACCTGAAGGTCTGATCCACAAGGCAGTGGAGCATCGTAACGAGATGCAGTCCCATGGTAGCCAGTGACCAACGATTGGTTCATACGCCATTTGTTCCCTCAGGATACTTGAGCCCATGTGCACCATTGGTTTGGGATCCGGTTAAAGCGCCGGACATTCGCTTTTCGTCCTCTCATTTTTGTAAACAACACCCCCGCCACGAGAAGGCAGTGAGTAGGACTTCCCTGGCAGAGGCTATATACGCATGGACATGTGAGAGCATTTCGAGAGAGAGAGAGCGGGTTCTCTCCACTCTCGGCCGTATTAGGCCATTTGGGGGCCAGTGCAGGACAGCTCATATGTTATTATCAACTAAATGAAAGTTGGCAATATTTGGCTCCTAAAGTGCATTTTATTGACAAAACATCTACCCCGCAACCAAATAGTGTATATGACATGGTGCTTAGTTTAAATCACAAAAATACCTACTCCAGAGACGCATTGTACGTCAAAATACTTGATTTAATTTAACGTCTAATCAAAGGTGTTTTTGTAGCTAGATAGTATTCCTGCACACTAATTACTGACTCTAAATACATATCCTAAGTAAATGAAATGGTTGCAAAGCATGGTTTTATTATAGCTTATATCAATTTGGGATGAAAACAACTCTTATTTGTAATTTCAACACAGGACTCTTACTTGACTTGTATTCTTAAGCTTAAACCTTCAAGCATTATAGCTGATAGCAATTGGTGACGAAAACCCTATGGGGTTAAAACGTTAACACACAACGCTAGCCCGACATACGTCACGTAAACTTAACCTTTTTTACCTTTACCATAATGAATAATTTGACACATAGAAGTTAATTATTCATATCAAATTCACTATTCCACAGCAGCTTTCATACATTTTGTTATGAATTGTTTTGTAACTAAGACGTGTTTCTTGATCGACTGATAATTCGCTCAAAGTCGTCAGTATATTATAGCTTTAATGAAATATTACATATTCCATATCTACTAACAGACAAATATATATAACAAGTCACACACAGAATTGCCTTAGACGAAATAACATGGCATTAACATGATCAGACCAATTTTAGCTTGTTAGTACTGAAACCATTCTACTTTGTTCTCTTCATACTATCTAAATCTGTGTTGATTTAATTTGTAGTGGTTTACAATAAGTCAGAAAATGTCTCAAACTTAATTTTCTATTTGAGATTATGCAAATCAGTCATTTCTATTACCCAATGCTCAATTTATTCGACATTATCGAATCAAACTTTGGTATTGACAATTATATTAAAGAATATAAACAAATCATCCAAAAAAATCTGTTTAAAAGTAGATTTCAGAACACTTGAAATAATTTACAAATACTAGTAGATTCTATACTGTCAGGATGTTTAAAACTCAAATTAAAACTTCATACCTTATACAATATATGATATTACATCACTGATATACGACCTATGTATAAACACAAATACCATTTAAAAATGGATACACTTTAGTTTCCTATTTGGTAAACATATAACTTTCAATAATGCAATGAGAAGACGTAGTTTATCTGAATTATGTGATATATTTGCGCAATACATTTCGAACAATCTGATCACACACATATACTTGTTAAGAACATTTATATATGAAAATTAAAGGTAAACTAGGTCAACTATCATTTATTTAATTCAGAATAAGAATTTACTTTTTTTTAGAAACCCCTTTTATAGTTGGCAACTATGGGTCTTATATTGATAAGAATTAAAAAACCATTTTTAATCGACTTAAAAAAAATATTGCTCAACACATTACTGACCACTAAATAATTAACAACAAAAAAAGACACATACACATATGAGAAATGGGTTTGACCTTTACGTTCCCATCTAGAAAGATGATTATTGGATCCAGAAGAAAATATTGAAAAGGGTGGTTTGTAACCTTTAACATAAACAAACATAATTATAAACAAAATTATGAGTCATTCATGACATGATAAATTAAATTACATTTTAAAAGAGAATTTCATTTACTTAAATTTATCACTTGGACATCATAAATGTTTTAATTTCTGAGTTAAGAAATTTCTCTTTGTAATTTTATATGAAAAAAAAACAACTTTTTAGACCTCAAAGGATGTATTGGACAGACTCAGAAACTAACCTTTAAACTTAAAGTATGCTATAAGTGAGTTATTGATTTTAATAATCTACTTTTGACTAGAGAAAATAACTTGTTATCACTACGACATATACAGGGTAGTAAAAATGTGCCCACAATAAATTTGACTAATGTAGGAATAACAGTTCCTTTCTTTATAGCATAATGCAGTTTAAAATGGGTGATCAACCGTTTATCAAATAAACTCAAAGATAAGTTTAAAATGGATTGATAAAGAAAACGTAAAGTCATTAGTTTCGTGTTATAATATAATGTAGTAACATTATTGATATTAAATTCAAGAGAATGCATATTTCGTTTACATCTAGTGAAACATTAGGTCATTGATATTAGGTAGAAATAGTGATATCATACCAATATCGTAAATTATTCAATGGATAAACAGGTATGCTGAATTATTCTTCACCAGTGAATCTTTTTTAAATATTTGGGCTTCAAATAATTTCATTTCGTCGAATTGATGAATAGAAAAACATGTGTATTGTTTTTTTTCCATAAGACAATATCAGATGTTTATTAAAGCATTCTTAGATGTTAGGTTTGATCATACCAGGATGACCATAGTTACTGTTAAGTAATTTTTGGCTTGAACAAAACGGATGATCATTGGTACTTTGCATTCAGTAAACATCCGAGTCTAGTGAACGACGAAAAAATAAATTTCACATGATTCAACCTAATAAATATTATGTAATGTCGTTTATTGTGTTAAGCCCATATACCTTATTCTAGCTTTCAGACAGCCCATTCTATTCATTCTACTTGAGTCACATTCTGACCTTGTTAATTATTTGCTTATCAATCTTGACTGTTTTTATATAAGCGTGTAGGTGTGTATACACTCCTTATCCCATTACTCATCACATGTCTGCAACTTATTTTTGTATGCCTATGAATATCGACTAACGCTCGACAAAAGGGAGTTGGCTTACCTGCCATCTCCACTGCGCGTCGTTTCTCTTCTCTCTATTCCATTCGCATCATATACAAAATATATGTATTTAGAAGTCCATTCTCGTTACTTGACTTATCTAAGTCCGTTATTGACTAACGCGATTAAAGTCGATGATTATATACGAGGATAGGCGACATATATATTTCAATAACCATCATCATTACGATCTCCTTGGTGTTAGATCTCGGGCCACTAAAGTGGAGAGCCCTTTCGACAACATCGTTCGATCTAAATGACGATTAAATAACGGGCCTCAAAAATTACTATTGTTTTTAATGTAAATGTAAACACATTCTATAGAGCGTCGCATGACTGAATCCTCTCGATAAAATGAAACTCCATCAAATAATACTATAGGCCTAGTGCAAATCTGTTTACAAATCATATACATATACAGAATTATTTAGAATTTTACACAGAAATTGTGATGAGAATATAATAAGCCAAAAAGACGTTAGCGGAATATGGTAATAGCGACCGCCTTACCGTAAGTTGTTAGGTTTTTTCTCAAGCAAATTCAACTTTTGAACGATTTTTTTTACTATTTGAATTTTTCTTAGCATTTCGTAACTTTAAGTGAGTGGTATTATAATGATTGTGACCAAAGCCTGGTAGTTGAAGCATTTATATTGTTGAATAGTAGATATAATGTTTATTCCTAGCAGACTTATAGTGAAAGTATGTACCATTTAGACTTTTGAATGAATTAGTACGAAAATAATAAGTATTAATTTACTTGCACACAAACACTGGATTCCACTTTCTGTTTTAAGTGTTAATGCACTTGACTCGCTGTTGTACTTCCAGACTATTAAATACTGACGACTTGTAGAACCTTGGAAAATGTATTCAACATAAAAATCATTAGCAGTCATTAGTTATAAATAAACAAAGGTTACATAACAGTTTGGAGGTATTTATTTCAATTCGTAAATGAAATATTTAAAAGACTGGAGGAATACGATTTTATACAAGTAGATTTGTGGATGATTATAGGGAACAGAAAAAGAAAATTAAACTAAAGTTATCCATCCACTACAGTTACATCGTGTAACTCAGACTGTAGATATCTGCCAGATGTCACAAATAAGATTCCTCTCAACTGCAATCCAGATAAATGAGAAGGAAAATGTCAGTTGGTTTTTTTGCAAAATAGATTGGTGTGACTGTATCTACTTTGGGTAATATATAAACTGCCATTTCGAAATTGTGTTTATTACATATTAAATAAGCATTAAACTTCATGGTTTTAAAGGCATATCCATATTTATAGCAATAAAATCTGATTTGTGAAGGCAACTTTTCAAATTGTTAAAAAATTGAATTCATCTGTTCTGTTTCGAAAGTTATTTTGAGCCACAAGCAAGCACATCTTTAATCAGAGAAGGGTTTTCGTGGATATTATAATAATTTAGTAGTTGAATTCATGAGTCAATTTAAGCTAGACCATCATGGAAAACCTGGAAGCACTGGACGTCCGCTTTGTCCCGACATGGGAGTCCTCAGCAGCGCGCATCCACGATCCCGCATCGCGGGATTCGAACCCAGCGGTCTTGTGCACGAACGCTTAACTATTAGACTACTGAGCCGTTATCCAATGGTGTTAATGTCTAACTTCAACCAATCTAAGAAGTTGCGCGACCGTCCACCATTGTCTTCAGTGAGTTACTTTGTCACAGAAGACCTGGTTGAACTCCACTGGTCACGGCTTCGAACTAGAACTCCAGGATATACCTCTAGGAGTTCCATACTAGGACTAAACGGCTGTCCAGTGCTTCTTGGTTTTCCATGGTGATCTAGGCTCAATTGACTCATGAGTCCAACATCTTGAATCACCTTCTGCCAAATTTTAAAAAAAGAAGTACCTTTTTTATTCCAAAAACATGTGACTAATTTCAATAACTCATCGAGAGATCATCACTCTGATATCACTCAATTAATTAAAAGAAGCCCGAATATATTAAGTGGCTGTCTTCTTTCCACTGTATGGTGTTCCGTAATTATTAATTGATTAGTTGATTTAAAAAGAAAATACTTCAAGTGATCATGTCTTTTAATTAAATTACTTTATTGTTACTGAAGTATTATTTATCACATTTAGATTGAAGCTACCAGAATACATCGGAACACGTGCTTGCGAACTCGTCATCTCAGTATGTTCACTTAAAGACACGAATACGTTAACTACCTCTTTAAATAGCAATGAGTTATTCCGTGAACTTTTAAGTCCAGAAAGGCGAGGGGTAAGATTTTCATTTTTAAGGGTTAGCATCCCAAAATATTCATATCCAAACCCAGTCTTGAATATTAACAACAGGATAATACATGCCTTATAAAACACTACAGCATATTAATTTCACTTCATTTTATAGTTGTAGCCTGAGTTTTTTCAGTTCTTCATCTGTGACTATTTTGGTTATATTGTGTTTTGTCACGAACTTTTTTGTTATGAGTAATTTTCATTCCCAGTTATGACTGCTAGTCATATCAGTTTATATTACTAATTTCCAGTTTTAATCTCCACGGATTTGAGTAAACTAAATAAACATCAAACTTTGTTACAACCGAAAAATACCTCACGACTATTATCATGTGTTCTTGATATGACGAGAAGAAAAGTCGAAATTCTTGCATACCACAAATAAATTTATAAAAAGTCATAAAAGTTATCGAAAAAATGTAAGATTTTTATATTTTTTCCTAACTGCTACTATTGCTAAAACTTACCAACTATCATATTTAAGTCTGGGCAAAAAGTGATCAAACGTAACTGATAAGGACGTTTTTCCCAATTCATAAAAGTATTAACATATTCTGTTACCTAACAAAATAAGAGTAATGTTGTAAAACTAATAGGCGTAGTAACCAAAATCTATCATTTCTAGATTGTAAATTTGACACCATTACAATTTCTAACTAATTGTCATCCAAATAAACTGATATATTCGAAAACAAGACATAAATGCGAAGTGGTGTCACAAATGAATGAACAACTTAAGAGATATCAGATATCACTGAGGTTGATATAGATCCATTATATCTATACGACTGGTTACAAAAATCTAATACTTTTTGAAAGAATTATCATGAAAAACCAGATAAAGATTAGGACTCTCATTTTTTAAATTCTGGGACTTTCAAAAGTTCCCATTATTACACAAAAGTTTAACTGTAATGTTTGATGCCAAAATGTGAAAATTCCCAAATAAATTCAAATCGTGTTGTGGAAACAGAAAGTGACCTACAAGACTGTATTGATCTGATAACTGTCATGAGAAAAGGTTATCTCCTGCAGTCTACTTTAGTATTTCACGTACTGATTTAATCGAGTATTTCACTTTTTAACCATTCGTTCACAGAGTCCAAGATGTCATTCACTCAAAAATACTACTTTAAGTATTAGCTATTTGTTATAATATGTTTTAGATATTTCTGTAAAACAGCTAACTTATCAGAAATAAAACTGTAACCTCAACATTTATACCACTACTAATTTCCGGTCGAAGAAACTGACCACTTATAATAAACAGCTTGACCGAATGTAGTTTTTTTGCTCTAAAGTGGTTAAAATGAGGTCGAACCGAATTAGAAAAGTGGTTCTCTAGTTTAGGCTGTCTTGACTCGTGAACGTAATGTTTAAATTCAAAGAAAAAACGATACTTTTTAGAGAATTGCTTACTTTGGAAGCTGTAACTTATATGCTGAGCGAGCAATTCACCTAAATAGTCTGACTTGTTTATTAACTCTGAAGAAGTGGATTACATTAAGTCACAAAACGTCAGGAACACAGTTTTCTACTCATTAAAACATAATAAAAAAATACATTTATTATCACCATTTTGATTGTTTAAGCCTAATTATTTTGTCATTCAAATTATTAATTCTAATTATTACATATTACACTCACGTCTTCACCTGTTTGAACATCGAATATTCTAGCATGACAACTTCCTGACGTGACCCAAAATGTATCAGTAGTGGGGATATGAGCTATGCCTATAGTTAATTGAAATGAAACATCAAAAAGTCCATTACGTAATAAATCATATATAAAGGATAGAATAGTATTGTTTAATAACTTTACAGGAAGTTAACCATTCTTTACTACATAAGATACTTTTTATCCTCAAAGTAATTCACGATTGTATTTATGTCATTTATGACTCTAGCATACTGAATTAGGCGTATGTTAAACTTATATAAAGTCAAAATAATTTATAACAAGCAAGTTTTCATCAGGATTTTGTATTTAAAGTTGAGTCACAAATATGTCGCTCTAGTACGATGTAGAGAAAGTAATCAGCTCTTCTTGATAGATACATTGAATGTATGCTTCCAAGCTTACAGGCATGTAGCCTTTATTTGCCTTTTTATGGTCCTGTAATTTAGAAGCACTATCTATTTTAGTTGCATTTACATTAGGACTTCAAGCAGACCTTCATCATTGATTTTTTAAACAGGTGTTTCAGAATCCGTTTTTTACATGTGCAGTATGTATTTTTTATTTGGTTAACAGAGTATTACTTTGAAAAAATTATTATTTGAAGCCTGAAAATTGTCGTACAAGCCTCGATGATGTATACGTACAAAATCATGTCAAGTTCAGTGTCTAAGGTCTATAAAGCAAACAAAAAACAGACTGTCGGGTTTCTTCTCTACAAAAGGTTGCAAAAGTTCCAGGTCATTGATAAATAATTATTAGAATTCATATTTATTTGAAATATTCTATCAAATATATTAGTAACTTAGCTGTTTAAAGTAATCCAACAGTTTATTCCAGTCAAACCTTAATAGATTATTATTATTCTTGTAGGCAAACTAGAGCCATCTTTGAATAATGTCCCATACAAACTAATAAAATTGTCATATTTACACAATACGCACTAGCACATTGAACAACAAATAAGGACAGCTTTAGTGTCCTTTGTAAGATGAACTTCTGCTACACTGATCATTAATTTAACAAACATAGAATATAGTAACTTTTTTTATTCGGAAATTATTCTTGGTAAAATTTAAAGTTATGCCGGACTATCTACAAACACGAGACCTTACATTAATATGGACAATATTTTCTGATATTTAACCTATAGCTTAAATAAACTGATCGTATTACAGTATGTTCGCTAATAACAAAAGAATGCAACTTACTGATTATAACATTACTGAAGTTTTCAATTACATGCATCAATTGTCCTTCATCGTTCCAGATTTTTACATGTCTGTCAAAACTCCCGCTGATCACTAACTTTTGATGATCATATACATTGTGAGCTTTAACTAAACAAGATATGATTCCATCATGTGCTCTGGGGATCTTCAGTAAAATTCTAGTTGTCGGATCTAATTTACCACATGTATCGTAAACAATAATTTGACCATCAAATCTTGATTTTATTTTAAATTAAGATAAAAGCAAGTGTTAAATAAATGAATTTTCTTGGAGGAGATTGAGTAAAAATGATTTCATAATAGATTTTGAACTTGGAATACATATACAATAGTTATTTATTACATAATATGTAGCGGAAATGAAGCGAATCACTATCTTATTATACGAAAAATTTGAAATAGTGTTATCTGTTGAAGCTTTAATAAAATGTTTACAGTATAGATGTGTTTGTATAAACTATTTCAGCGGCGAAACGTTATTTACGTTTTAGAATAAATCGGTATTTTTGAAAATGTGTTAAACTGCAGTTACCCAAGCAGTTCAAAGGAAGTCTTTATTTTTTATTGTTATTTAGATTAAATTTAGGATATTTCCACGTGTTATAATTTAAGACACATGTTTCGTCTTACTAATGACTCGTTTGTTGGACGTAGCATAGATTTAGTGTTTATGTTCACAGTGAAATGTCGACCCGTTGTCAACCGGTTTCTAATGCTCAAGTTTCACTTACTAAGTTACTGAATCTAAGTAGCCTTCAGTTTTTCCAAACAGAATAATATTTATTACTGATTGACAGTATATTTATTTCCCTGATATCAGTTGTGTCAATATTAAGATATTATTAGTCCTATTATTTCCTTATTTCTAGCTGTTTGAAATTCTAGCCAGTTAATATATTTTTCAAAACTGATATTTCTCATAAATTGCGAAATGTTTTTAACAACATAAATAATTTGCAAATAATGGGGCATTTTACTCGTCTGGTTAGAAATTCAGGAGGACAGTGTTATCTGGATAAAATGATCTCTTTACTGTTCCTAAATGCAATCAAACACTGTTTATGCAACAGGTACAAATCCAGTTGTTGTAGTTTTTCGTTGTTTCTAAATTGTACGTGCTGGATTAACAAGTGTAAAATAAATTCTGGTTTATTTGGGATTTTCGATTGAGAAACAGCTCACCTTTACCCACTAAACATCATAATATCATTGGTATGCAAAAATTGGCTAGATTCATGGTATATTTTTAGTGAGCATCTACACCAACATTTTTTAATCAATCTGTTATGTGAAATCATTTACTACCTATTCTTTATTTTTAGTTTATTCTCTTGATAATAATCACAGCAACCTGATTAATATTACTGGAACAAAGCAAGTTTATTCAGAGGTAAATAGATGTATGGAAAGTGGCTTAGACATTTCTAGTTTTTGCATATTAGTAGACACTCGTCTCTTAAGAAACTCAAACGTTAATTGTTAGAGTTGAAAGGTAGTTTTATGAGAAGAACAATACTTAGTATGCCGTTTTAAGCTCAAAGTTATGCAGAAATTAACAACTAGTTACAAAAATCATAATAAACTCTAATCACTGATTGCAAGCAACGTTAAATTTATCAAATGCAAAATACATTACATATAGCAGAATTTGACTTTTCACATAATCAAGTTTCTTTGATATGAATACTTGTATTTTACGGATACTTTTTTTCTAACTACCAAGAAATCTAAAAACCTGGGTTATGTGGGGTATAGTCAGTACTTTATCAAACTTTCATCTTTAGTTTGATTTCTCACTTTGACAAAAACTAAAACCAAAACATGTAGTAATTCGCTGACAGTATTCGCTAACTTACCCCCCTGAGAAGATGCGGCTTTCAAAGCTGACTAGACAACGTACCACATCCGCATGTCCTTTCAGATGCCTCTTCTCATGAACATTAAGAAACTTTCCTGTCGAACGGTCTTTTAATCAAAAGATGAAATTTCATTATCAATATCAATAATCTAAAATCAAGTTTAACAGTAATCTTATTTTATACTTTAATTTCAAGACATGAAAATTCACATTAACTTCTATCTTCATAGACTTGATTGCAGCTGGGTTTGGCGTATAAAAAGTCTAAAAAGATGTCTTATAGACAAGGGTTTACCAGTATAGGGTTGTAGAGATTTTTGAGTTTTAATCAAGATCACGAACCGATAGTTGTTATATCAGCATTGAAAACGTGGAAGTGACAAGCTACTAATAAAAGTTTGATAAATATATTTACTTTAATTTCTTGACACTTAATTTGTTACGGAAAATGGGGATGGGACGCGTTTTCATCAAGACTTTTCCTTGAGAACACTGTTGTCCCTAAATGCATACTTCGTCGCAAATAACGGAAAATCACGCTAAAGCTTGGACTAATATATCAAGACATGAACAGATATGAGTCTCATTTCAAGTTGTGATAACATAACCATGATCTTTCAACGATTTAGGCAAGAGCTTAATTTTATTACGCTCAACCGTGATAACAATTAACTACTTTCCGTTGCGATTGTTTTACATTTGGAAACCCATACATATATTTAATCTCTCATCTGTCTGGGACATAAGAATGTTAAGTTTCATTGAAGCTGGGAAATATTCTATTTTGATTAAAATGCTGAATAAAGGCACTTGTGTTCAATTAAATTTAATATGTGTAGTAACGTGATTATTTGATCCCTATTTTAGTATTTATTTTCACCTGTTGATGTACAGACGCTTCAACAACAACAAAGTATTGAGGCAAGCCCAGGTTGATTTAAACTCGAGGAAGTTGTGTTATGAAGCCATTGAGAAATATAAATACTGTCAGTAGAAGCTACTACAGAATATTCCAGGCACCGTCCATGACGATGCATTGTTTATGTGATGTATTTTAAGAATAAGAATAATTTGGTCTATTTTATTCAGGCTCTGGCTAAAAGTCTTAGCAATACTTATCCGATTTTCCTTATAGAGATATCAAGTTTGATTTTAGCAAAATAAAATAATATGACCTTCCTCATGTTTGATTTCTTTGGTCAAAAACCAGTTGAAACGTATGAAACAATGAACTGTGAACTACGTTACAACAGTGAAATAAAGACATACGTTTATCGATTGTAAATATTAATAATCCGTTACCAGTTCCGCAAATAAATTCTTTCAAGTTATCAACGACCAAACAAGTGTAAACTGGCCGGTATATCTAAAGTTAGATTATAAAGAAAATTCATTCATAGTTTAAAGAAAAAAGATAGTATGTAGTCTTGTATAATTTATCTCCCTTATTTTTTCAGTGGAAAAAGCCGAATGTTCACGAATCTAGTTGCAAATGACCATCGTTATACGGATAAGTAGTTTTAAAACGATGGTAAAGTAACTAAAGATCAATTAATTACATTCAAATTAACAAATAAATACAGTCCAATTTTGTGAAAATATTATCAATAAAGTGAGCTTTTGTAAAATCAAACGCTACCTACACAATCAGAACTAAGCTACATTTGCAGCCCGGAATTTAAAATGCTTTTTTCATTCTAATAAGCTAGTTGTTGTTAATTGATAATGATTAAAACATATCTTCCTTACTTTTAATTACAAATGACATTTCAAGATAAATATTGCACTTATTTATCAGTAATCAGGTTTTGAAGCATTTTTAGCCGATAAATGATTTATAATTTTAAGTTCTAAAATGAATAATACCCTTCTGGATCCCACTTCATTCAATGACTTTTAATCATAAGTAGTTTAAGATTTCATTCTTTCCTTTCTGATCCATTCCAAATTACCTTTACAAGCACAAAAGACATAATGGCGCGATTCAAAGAAAGATGAAAAATCAAGACTTTGAATCATTTCTTTGACATAGACTTCAGTCATTCGATATGACCTTTTATAATTTATATTTGATTTTTGAGCTAAAAACACCTTAGTTTGTTTTCGAAAATTAAGTTTGTTAGCTTTAAAACCAACGAAAAGCTTAAAAAAGTAAATGACCATATGAGCTTTTTTATTTTCAGTTATGGACAGTCCATAAATTCTGAAAATGCAGTACATTTAGTCAGAAATTATGGGAAAGTCATTTGACGTTTTGAAGGCCTGTCATTATCAAACTAATGAGGTTTTATCATTTAGTGGCTAAGATTTGGATCTGTGGACTTAAAACATTCAAATACCATAAAGAAACCAATTCCAATCACTTTGCGAATTGAGTGATTTCGTTCTAAATAGAAATTAACTTCTCGTAGGTAAGACAATGGGGTCGGATACCGTTTACTTCTCAACACTTCATGGGAAACATTAGTGCAACCAATAGGCTGTAAAAAAAAGTCGTAATAGTATAATCTCCATAACATAAAAAGCTTTGTAATTACTTGGAGTTAATTTTGACTATGTTAGCCTTAACAGACGCCGATAACCAGAGACATTCAGTTAAGAAGTGTGAGCATATTCCCTTGTGATGGACATGAAATACTTTGATCTGTTTCTGTCTCTGTTTAAATACATAATACCTCTTTACTCATGTCGCTTTTATATTTGTTTATCAGAACGTTATCGTTTTGGGGTTGTTCAAAGAACAGTATAGTTTGAATCCGTAATTTTTAAAATACATATGTTAACACGTTCACCGCTTGACAATCTAAACACAACTTTATGTTTGTTATTTATCTTGCGATCACATATAAATACATACATATAAACGTATATATCTTAGTTGTTCAGTGTACTTATTTACATTTGTAGGCTTATAAACTAACCTTGAACAAAACTTTTCAACGTCAGACTTTATAGATCATCCCATCCTAAACAATTAAACAATACATTATTTTACTACTTAAAAAAAGCCTCAGTACATGTTGAGGTAGACTTACAAAGTCAATTCGTAGAAGTTTTGATAACACAATGGCATAATTTATGCAAGTGCAAGAGGTTAATTTTATTTAGTTCCATTTTTAGCCATATAAATTATCTGAAAAAAATTTTAGCCAGAACTAGGAGACTGATACTTTTTAAAGCCATACGTTGAATATTTGGATACTCACATGTGAGGTAATGTAAGTGTTATGAATATTACAAAGCCACATTAAAACCTCAGGATTAGAATGTGTTCAGTGAAAATAAAATACGTGGCTTCTGAATAGTTAATGAAGTCTAAACGAACTCCTGTAAATTGTACGCCACTACAGTCTAATATTAGGCTACAATACATTGGATGCCTGACTCTGACTTGTGAAAATATCGGCAGTAAACTACAACAGTTTCAAAATCTGTTGAAACTTAGCCATTTTTCACTAGTTTACATTAAATTTAACAAAATTTACCCATCATCTTTGGAGTTCACTCACATTATACCAATCGATTAATAACAGTCCCTGCCAAAACGCAACGATACCTTCATGACTCATGGTTATGACAGTTTTCATTGACTCCCTGTCATTTATTTTCATAATCAGTGGTTCGTTACATACCAATAGTAAATCGATGTGACCCACGAGGTGTGGATATTAAGATTTTTAACTTTCCGGCCGATTATAACATCCCAGTACACAATTCCGCCGTCTAAAGCTGGTAATAAATAAAATTTATACCCTCAAACCCAGTTATCACTTCTCTTCTTGAGGGGTCGAAGCATATTGCAGTGATCGGGGAAGTATTGTACAACTTGATTGATGAGCTGTAATCCATAACTCTTTTCGAAAAGAAAGGAAACTGTTGTCTCAAGGTCAGATTGAAATGAAGATTCTAAACACATTTATGGTAAATGGATATATGAAAAATATTGTTGTATGAAAGGTAGCCTTTGAGAAAAAAATTAAAGTTATACCCAAAAAAATTCCATTCATTTTTCTCTGAGTCAAGTAGAACTTCTGGAAATAATAATGAGAGAAACCGTGACGTTGCCTTTCAATTAATGACCCCCCTAGAATTAGTTTGAAGCTTCCTCTAGGTTAAAATATTCATTGCAATTAAAAATATATACAAAGTGCTTGGTGGAATAACACAAAACGTGAACGGGATGACTAGCGTTGATGGGTGGCTGAAAGATGTTTCACAAGTGACACTGCACACTTGAATTCATTGAACATGAAGGACAGCCAGTTGTTGTTTATGTCTACTTCAGTAAGCGAACCTTTGATGGTTTCGAAGAGATCACAGAACGTGAGAATGCTACGGTCTGAAATTTCTTTTTACACAGCGATCCAAAATATAATGATAGCTGAGGTTTGGAAATGACGTAATTCTAACGTACATTATAATTATAGGTCAAGATGTCAAAGTGTATGGATTTGGGGCTGATTAGTTATGTGTAGCGCGGTTTACCGAAACGCAATAAAACTTGTAAAGCTATTTATTTCAGGTATTTAGTTACTGTTGCAGTCTTAACATGTTATTTAACCTGGCCAATAAGTTAAGGGAGGACTATGTCAAAAGTTTAAAATATGTTGTACTATAATATCTTTCAAATACACTATCAATATCTTATCAAGATAAATTAGCACAGTATTTTGGTTCTCATTTATGTCAACATCAAAATACTGACGTTTTGAACCATTGAGGAAGAAGAGATTCCGATACATAGTGGGACCGGTTGACTGAAAAGAATGAGCAATAAGGCCCAATAAGGCAATAAGTATAATGTTTTGAATTATTTGAATTGTATTATGAACTAGGAATCCCAAAATTAACGCAATTAAATTAAAAAGTGAGACACAAACACAAACGAATGTATTGTATTTGGAATTCGAAATCGAGCATTCAACAAGTACAAAAGAATCATTAGTTAATTCAAACACCACAATAAGGCACAACAAAACGCTGTTTTCTCGAGGTTAGTGAGTATGGCACAGCAGGCTATCTTGAGAGTCGCTGTTATGTCTTTATTTTGACTGCTCTATTTATATTATCGGCTCCCAGCATACCATGGTTGATTAGTAAGCTTTTTCGAACGACTGGTTCATAGATTCCAGGCGGCTGTCCGAAAACGCGTGAAAACCGGAGGTTTCTGAACACATGATAATTCAAATTCAAACTCTCATCCACAGATTAGTGTCACTACTGATCCACAGCTAAAGCTGTTACACGGTTCCCTAGCATATGTACGAAAAGTAATTGTGGCGGTATCTCTAAAACGGTTTACGTGAGTCATCGGGTATACAGACCCTCTGATTATGGGAGGTTTATCTATGGTCAAAATTACCATGGTTCAAACAAATGCGGAGATTAAAAAAATGAACATTACGAGTGTTTGTTATTTTAACTCGTCTTAGATCTCTAGCCAGTTGCATATGCGTACATTACTATTGATGGTTATAGGTATGAAGCAAAGAAGACATGGTACAGTAAATCCGCTTGATGTCAGGTCAATATAGTAGTTACGGACTTCATCAGCGTTTGTATGAATATCTGCTATTTTTAATTACCTGGTCATTTTCCTGTTGTGTAGTTTAATTTGAACAGCTAAAAACACAAGCTCAGGTGAGGAATCACTAAAATGTTGAACCTAAGAGACGTTAATAAAAACCCCATGATTTTTTAACTCAGCAAGCTATGGAACTATGGTCTAGTTTGATATAACTACATTTGTCTTTACTACTACAATGGTAAACCTCATCCCAAAATTGCAGATTTACCACGACAAGAGTACGTAATGCATAAGATTTTACGTGGAAGTCACACAATTGCCTATACTGACTCATCATATTGTGATAATCAACAATATGTTTATCAGTTCTGAAGAACGTATTTGGGCTAAGAAGAGAATAATACATTATATACAAGAAGCAGGAGTCTACATAATGTAATCATGACTGCACGGTCGAACCATGCCATTTCAATTTATTGCTCCCATGTTCACCATTGCTGATTTTCTCTCCATGTTAAATATTGGATGTAAATTTTTTCAGTTATCTTATCTTCAGCTTCGAGGATCGTGTGGTTAGAACCAATACCGCTATAAAGCAATAAATTTAGTTAAACAGGCCCAATCTCTCGGTTAGGGATTCGAAGTAAAAAACTACCAGGTCATAGTCTACTTCAAGTAAGAGCGCTTCCTAAGGTCTGACCGTTTAGTGTATTCGGAAGAACATATGTCTGTGACCGTGAAACTCTTTACATGTATTAGCGACCTTAAAAAGAAATGATATTTATTACCTTTTACTTTTTTACGTGGGAATGCACATAAACATAAAACTAAACTTCAGTGTTATTTCAGTATAAAGGTTTTAGCTCTTAAAATTACATTTTATCCACGTCGTTCATTCCTTATACTTGTAGAAAATAACTAGATACCACTGCGATTCCTACTATGTGAAGTAAGAATATCAAGGCTGGTACATGTGAAGATATATTTGTAGTGTTGCGTCGATTCGCGGTTGACTATGTTCGCCACTACAGGAAGACTACGTGTCAGTTAACCGATAAGATCCCCCGTAGACCAGATATCAGGAGGCAGTTGATGGCCGTAGTCCAGATGTATTTGTTGGCGATCTCGTGGTATTGAAAGAATACCGAGATCGTGCCAAAGTAGTAAAAGTGTGGTCGCTGAACGTAACCGAGTTCGTACAAGGTTACAATCAGCGGAAGGAAGAATGTCTTTAGTACAGTTAAACAGACAAGTGTGGTAAATCAATCCCTGGTAAAATTGGTTATAATAATAATTGTTTTCATTACACCAATCGCGTTCTGTTGATAAAAGTAGGTCACTGCATATTCATCACGAAAACACCAACATGAACCTCATCAAAACACACTCATTATATATTGATTGTACACACATTTCGATGAAACCATATATGAGAAATATCCAGAATTTTAGCAAACCTGATGCTGCATGTCATACTGAACGTAGTTCATGTTAATTTAATACAAGAATATCATATCTTGAATAAACATAACACTGAAGTAAATCAATGTTATGTTGAACAAAATAGCACACCTAAAATAAAATAAATATCACTTTGAATGATCCTCATGTTGAGTTAGAAACGGAAGTAACATTGACCGAAAATCATGAGTCAAATTTTGATTTAGCCTTTTTATTCCGTATTATCAACTTGTCATAGGTTTCTCATAATACAGATTAGCATGGGTTTGATTCCCAAAGGTACGAGCTAAAACAAATATATTTCGACAAGATAACATTCACAAAAGTGAATGTTTATCCCATGAATATATATCTTAAAGCAAATTCACAGTTTATCTTCAGCTTACTTCTATGGTGGTCAGGTTATAGCAAAATTTGGGAAAACGTTTATCAAGCCTACAATAGAAATACACCATAATAATTTTCTGTCAGTAGCTAGTAACAAGTAAAACAGTATTCGTCAAAAGGGAGGCACATAATCGCTTAGACATAAAACTATACAACAGAATTAATAAACTAATTAGCATGGGGTTTGAATGAGTAACCCATGTGAATGGCAGGTTATCAAAACTCACACATTATACACGCTGAGAGTGTTCTGTCTGAATATTTTTATTATTTATTTATGCTCGCCTGTAATAATACGAGGCAGTCCAATTTGTATTTTATCTAATAATCCCTAAGATTGCCAAATCGGTACTCTAACAGTTACAAATGAGTTAAGGTTCAGGTTACAGGAAAATCCGACAATACACTGGAAAGTATTATATTTTGTAATTGAAGTCAGATACAGAATAATACAGGAAGGAATTATTAATTAACACAAACACCACATTATCCTTCAGACAACTTATTGCTATTCATTCATAAAAAAAAATAGAGTGTATTCAAAATAATCAGTTAATCTGATGAATTTAGATAATACAATGAGAATACATGGTTTATCAGAACAATATAATTATTGTATTAAATCTAAATAATCTAATATTACTTGTATAATTTTTCAAAAGCCGGTAATGTTTTTTTGGCATTATTATCATCCATATAAGTGAATATAATAAATCACTTATTTCAGACATTCACTTTAGTTTTATGACATTTACACATAAATATCATTTGAAATTTATCATTCTCATAAATTATAAATTCAATATTTCATTCAATTTTTCTTTTTTCTTTTCTTTTTTTGATTTTGTTTTGCAGTTTTGTTAACAATAACTTCAAATAATTAATTAATACTAATGTTTACTATACATTGTTGTAATTTTATTGTTGAGATGTAAATTAATTTTAAAAACTGAAATACTGAAAGAGTTATAATTTGATTTATATGACAAGAAGATTCATATCTTTATTTGACATAGATTTTATTTTGTGAAGTGAAATTCTAATAGATGTTGTTGATATTTACATATCTCATTTTCAGTCCAGGGGTTGTGGAGATTGTTAAGTTTTTGATTGAAATCATGAGTTAATTGAAGCTAGACCACTATGGAAAATCTGGAAGCATTGGACGACTGTTTCGTCCTAGTATGGGACTCCTTGGTAGTGTGCATCCACGATCCCGAACAATGGAAGATGCTCGCGCAATTTCGTGGATTGGTTGAGGTTAGAAATTAACACCATTGGATGCCGGTTCAGTGGTCTAGTTGGTTAAGCGCTTGACGCAAGACTGATAGATCCTGGGTTCGAATCCCGTGGGGCGTGAGATCATGGATCCGCTCTGCTGAAGAGTCCCGTACTAAGACGTAACGGCCTCATGGTGCTTCCAGATTTTCCATGGTGGTCTAGCTTCAATTAACTCATGATTTCAATCAAAAAATATCTCATTTTATTGATAAATTTTT